GCTTAGGGCAGTGATTCCCAAACTGTACACCTGTTTATCTTCCAGGACATTTACCTACATTTTAAAAAGTTGCCGCCTTGAAACAGATTTGAACCCTAGACCGTTGAGTCCGCTGCCAATATCTAGCAACCATGCTGCTCAACTCCCTGTGTTATTATATTATTATATTAACATTATTCTGTAAATATTTAATAAACATAATTCCATAATTATAACTCTACAATCACTATTGTGTAGCTATACATCTAGTCTGGATACGGTGAGCATTGAGACACAGATGGCTGCTATTTCAGAGGACAGAGCATGAACGGTTCTAGGATGTCGATAACGAATATGTCAATTATAATCACTAATCTTTAGTAATGACCGGGGCTTTTTATTGTTTTAGAAAAAAAAAAGTGCAGCTAGTCACAAATGTGTCTTCTTTTGCAAAATGATACCTAACAAAGGTGGCCATACTGACTACTGCCAGAATAAAAAGCATTGATCATAACTGGGTAATCATAACTGAACAACCACATCATAACTGAACAACCACATCATAACTGAACAACCACATCATAACTGAACAACCACATCATAACTGAACTACCACATCTTAATTGAACTACAGCAATGAATGACAATAGTTTGCTTCATGTGTATTTCAGCTGTCAGCTGGTGGGGATCTCAATGGAGCTATCTACAGATCTGCGCACCAAAATTGAGCAAACAGCAGCAGCACAATCACAAGTCCACTGTCAAGCTGCCATGTTTCCAGTAAGAGTTTCTTTTATCATAAATTCAGTATGCATCTCTGCAGCATAATTTGACTGCTTAAGTCCTGCTTATGTCACAAAGCTTGGGAGAGGCATAGTTTCCTCTTCTTGCTAGTTTCGGGGCTTGTGTTAATGTCACTATGTTCCTCCCGTGTGTAGTTTCCAGGGACCCGTTATGGCACGGGGGTGGGGGGGGGGGGGGGGGGAATAATATACCTACTGCCTCCCTAAAAAGCATGTCTACGGTGACTAATTAAGGATTTTTTCCTCTCAAGTCTTGAGTGATTCGACTGACTGGCAAGGAACCAACAGTCTGCACACAGATAAGCTAGATCTCTAAAATGGTTGTGCATTGCAAAATTCAAGTGCTGGAATAAAACTGAATTCAGAAGTAGATGAACAACCAGATATTTTCTATCAGAGTTTACAGCCACTGACTGCGAAGAAGAAGAAGATTGCCAGTGTCCATGCCTACCTATGCAATGGTATGCTTGCCTGAATGCCTAAGGTGACCTTTTCATGGGTTGAGTTTTGACTGTTGAGTTTTGACCCACAGAGTTTAGGCTCTGTGTGAAGCTCTTGGGAGGATGCTCAGATACTCTGCATAGAGGGACACAGGATACAACTCAGTGCAAAGACGTTGGTTTTCTCATATTGAAAGTTCCCATTAAATTGTAAATGTGCTACATCACAATTTATTATTGTGGTAATTAAATATGCAACAGTATTTATTTCTTTTTTTCTCTTCAGAACAAGGTTGTCCAGTTAGACAGAATGAACCTACCCATACGATGCTCCCTCCATCAGAAGTGGATAAAATCAACTTGTTAAGAAAGCCTCCTCTTTTCTCTCCAAGCCATTTTGTTACTAGTATTAATTGAAAGCTGAAGAAGAAGGGATCCTCATTAGCTTATCCTGACCCCACCAGTGACTGATAACGCTGATGGTTTCAGCCCTTCTGAACCCACCTTTCAGTCCAGTCATCTGGAGTTTAACCAACACAGTAATCACTATTTACTGAATGTCTTGGCTGGAAACCAAAGGGAATATAATAGAGACACTGGGAGCAGCGTATTCTCCCCAAGGATTTATCAAACACCTGAAGGCTTCACACTTCCCCCAGAGGCCATGACCTTGTCGTGGTGGGGGAGCTTGAGAGCCTCAGTGATCCAGTGAGCTATGCCGGCGGGAATGTATGTTCCTGGCAGGGTCACCCGAGCCGGACAGGTCACTGGTGAGGGGCCAGACTAAAGATGGCCTCTAGATATCATCAATCAAAAACAGTGTTTTTCAAAATTGTAGGAAGGCAGCACTGCATGTATACATTTCGGCCATGATGATCACTGGTCTAATAAATGTCCAGTCCGACAAATACGGAAATCAGTCACGACAACAACTCTGTTCTCAAGACCACAAGAGAAAAAAACAATAGTGCTAAAATCAGACAAAGACACAGACTTGCCTTCACCGTTAAAAAAGGTCACAGAACCATCACAACAGATGTCCCTTCATCCCAGTAGAAATTCATCACTAAACCAACATCTCAAGAGATAGTACTCAAAGACAGTACAATCCCTGCCAATACTCAAAGACAGTACAATCCCTGACAATACTCAATGACAGTACAATCCCTGCCAACAAGAAAAAAATACAACTGAAGTCAACGCAGACGATAAAAAAAAATTCAAACACAACAACAAAAAAAAGAAGATACCACCAACAGGAGAAGATCTAACAAATGATACCACAGATAGAAGCTTCACAACAAAACACAAATACAAATGAACAACAGGAAGACCTTCAAGAACCCGAGTAGGAATTTCCAGAAGAATTCCTAGTATGCTTACCAATACTACAGACATGAGAGCCTTGGGAAATAGAGCAGACAACTACAAAAGAAGCTAAAACTCTATTACCATAACAACAAACAAATTATTTGAAATAGCAAGAGCTTATTTCAACTACGATCCAAAATGCAAAGGCATAGAACTCTTATTTCTACATAGAAAATGAAGTATTTGACAAGGCAGCATAGAGATTTGAAGTAGACCTCAAACAAGAAAGGACAACAAAACTCAGACAAGTGTGGCACTGAGGAATAAACGGAAGGGAATCAAACGCACACAAAATCAAGGAACTGTTCTGTCGCATGGAAAAGTTAATGGAAGAAACTACAAACAAGAAACACCAACTGCATTTTAAGATAACAATTACAGTAACTTCACAAACCAAACTCGACAAGACTGCTGATGATTTGTCTTGCTCACACTGAGAGAGAAGAGCTTTTATCTCAAGTTGGAAAACACAGTTGATCAGATGCAGAAACAGGATCATAAAATTGATCTGTTGGCTTCTAAGCTGGCTGTTGCAAACCAGACATTGCCACAAATTAGTCACACGAATCATGAGAATTTACTGTTCCTTGAACATGAAAAAGCTGAATGACAGAGGATGGAATTGGTACAGGCTGAACAGCAGAAAGTGCAGTTTGAAAATGAGACTAACACCCTGAAGCCTACAGTGGACAGAACAGCACTAGATCTGCAGTCAAGAGTAGCAGTCGATGATTTGAAAAAAAAAAAAAACTCAATAAAAGTGCAAAACAGCAACAAGCCACAAATCTCAGAGAGGCTCCTGTGGAGAAACTGAAATCAGCTGTCAATGCCACACTCACTGCTGGGGAAAAAGCCAAACAAATGAAAGATGTATTGCAAGCTGAGAGAAAAAGCAGGAGGGCTTGAATATACAAATGAAACCTATTGGAGATGTTTTATATAAAAAAGAGCAAGGGGCTAATGGATGCCAGGACCACTGGGAAAAAAATGACAAGCAGCCATTAATGCAGCCCAAAATGCTGTTAAGAACCTGGCCAGTAAACTAAATCAACTAGATGCAGAAAATATACAAACGAAACATTTTGGAGATGTTTTATGTAAAAAGAGCAAGGAGCTAATGTGTGCCAGGACTACTGGATAAATGACAGAAGCAGCCATTAGTGTAGCCAAAAATTTCACTCAGGATTTCATTCAACCACTGAAGCGACGTTACATGCGCATACAGAGAGAGCACAACTCCGAGGAGAAGACAGATTTAGAGAGCGCTATAGTTGAGCTTTAGAAGCTATTGGCAATAAAACACACATACACACTTCTGACAGCTTAATTAAAGATAAAGTACAGGATGACAGCTGCCAGATCAAGCAAACACTGGTAATTTAGGCAGAAAATAAAGGCATGATTTCTAAAACTGAGGAGCTTATTCTGTATAAAGACAGCACTGAAGCTGAACTCATGCCCAGCATCCAAGTAAAGCAGGGTTTGATGGTTGATGAGAACCTTTTGAAACTGAAGATCAGGAAACTTCGAGATGTACTGAATTCCAATGTAGATGGTATTGTATCACTGAAGAAAAAACTTCCAGCTGAATACGGCTATGAAAGAGTGCCAGTTGGAAATTAAGATCCACATGGAAATGTTGAAAGCTCAGATAAAAGCCTCCAATTAAGAAACACTGCACATCAGTGCATGCTAAAATTGACAAAATGAGAAAGAGAGGAAATTTATAGTGTCTATGGCACCACAAGAAGGGGAGGAGGAAAGGTCACAGGCTTATGTGTAAGAGAAAGGGGAGCTATAGAGAGGGAGAAGATGATCTTGATGCTGGAATCAGAAAAGCTGAGAAGGAAATCAGTGCCCTAGAGAACACAATGAAGTTGATAAATGATATGAATGAACAGTACAAAAATAGCTTGAATAAAATCATGGAAGGAAGTAATGAGATGAAAGAGAAACATGAGTTGGATGAACAGTTTTGAGCAGTTATGAATAAATTCAAATATAAATGACAACAAATAAAAAAAAACTGGAAGATGATTTGCACACAATGAATACAACAATGGGCAACCCAACCAAGGATGAGGAAGCTCATCTTGTCACCAATAAGAAGGACAAAGTACTCCAGCCAAACAAGGAGTCAGAGGGAAGAAAAGTTCTATGATCACTCTTGCTCACCAGGGGCGTTATTCCAAATTCCTTCAGCCTAAAGCTAAATAGAGGAACTGAATAGCCGAGGGCAACTGGTCACTAACATGGAATGTCTGATTTGTTGGCAGGCAGGCCTGTGTATGTATGCATCTGATTTTGTTTTAAACTGGTGGTGTTATGCTTTCCACCTGAGAAACCACGGCGTGAGAATTTGCACATAAAACCTAAGGATGCCCGTTGCGAGAGTTTCAAGGAGATCATGAGATTGAAAGCTCAACTTCAGGTAAAGATGCACATAGAAGGCCAGACTACAAAGAGATATGGCCTGCCTCTGTCACATCTAGAGTACAGCTTCAGGGAGACATGCACCAGTGTAAAGGAGCTAGAGAAAACTGTGGCAGTCTTCTAGAACAAAAAAACTTAAAGTTGTTTGCCAAGTCATGGGTCTGATTTGAGGCAGGGAATGTCTGCCCAGACTGGTGGATGACCTGGGACACCATGTTTGCACAGGGGTAAGACCTTCCAGACTACAGACTTGAGTACAGCTTCAGGGAGACATGCACCAGTGTAAAGGAGCTAGAGAAAACTGTGGCAGTCTTGAGGTCTGGGGATGAAGGGAAGTTCCCAGACTTGGAGGTGTTTGCAAGGGAAGTTCCCAGACTTGAAGGTGTTTGCAGAGAAAAGACTGGAAGCACTGAGCCCAGAAAGCTGTGTCCTGAATAAAGAACGTCCAATATTGCGCCCAGATGATCCTGAAAGTGGGGACTTTGGACAGCCATAGAGGATCAACTGAAGACAGTCACATTCTATGCAGGAGAAAGATGCAAACATACCAACATGCAGGGGAAAGATGCAAACATACCAGCAAAAGCTACTGCACCTAAAGATCAGGATGATGATGTTGAAGTTGATGAAAATCTTCCTCGAATATTGTCCTAAAAAGGGAAAAAGCAAAAGAAGCTAGAGGAGAAAAAGAAGAAGAAAGTGTTTCCACGTGATAACAAGGAATGGGACAAATTTGATGATGCAGAAATTAAGGCAGCTGTTGCAGAAGAAAAGAGCATGAGTAGGAAAACAAAAGTGAAAGGAGTTTCCTTAGACATAGACTCAACAGGAATGATTAAGGAGGAGAAAAATCTGAAGGAAAAACGAAATAAGGCTTTCAAATCGCAGGACTTTAAAGAAGCTGTAACTTACAATACCCGCAGTATATCGTTTATGGCCAGTGCTGCATCTGACAACAACAGAGCATTAGCAAATCTGAAGCTGAAAAATGGGAAGCTGGAGAATTCCAACAGATTCAAAGTCTGAACGCAAACGCACGCCCGGAGAAGTTGTGTTTGTTTTAATGATCATCTGTTGACTACAGGCACCCGCAAGCTGATTTACTTCAAGAGATGATGATCTGGCATCAACATGATGGATCAGACCCACCTAGTCGGTGAGGAGGAAGATGACTACGCTAGCTTTAATGACTGCAACACTGCTCTTGACACTGAGGATTTATTTAGTCCATGATGAGACTCTAGAAGGCAGATTTTAGGACAAGCCATTGTAGACGAACACCTGCTTAAGCCAAACTTGGAGCCACAGCTCTGGCAGCGGGCGATGGATGTTTGGCAACTGCATCCAGATGATGCATGGCATTATCTTCATCCATGGACAGGCCAGGCAGTGGGATTGCTATCCAGGCCGGCCAGGCTCGACCCATGACAGCCGTCAGAGCCGCCGGCTTTACTTTTGTTGGCAACAGACCAGGTGTGCCCTCTGACCCCTTCAACCAATCAGGCAAAGGGCCAGCGCCACCACTGGAGGCTATAGCAGAAGACAGACCTGAGGGGAAGATCCGACACTTGGAGAGAACAAGTCAATGAACTGATAGAGGTAAGCTGTTTGGCCAACAGTTGCGGAGAACTTCAGCTGGCACTGGAGAGAGCCAAGGAGGTAGGCAAGAAAGAGAGGCTGCTTGTGAGACAGAGGGAGATGCTGGCCATGGGAGACCAGATCAGTTTGGACCTCACATATTCGGTGCTGTTCAACCTGGCAAATCAGTACGTGGCCAATGAGATGTACTACCAGGAGGCCATCAAAACCTACCAGGTCATTGTGAAGAACCGCATGTTCAGTAATGCAGGCCGACTGAAAGTGAACATGGGGAGTATCTACTTCAGAGAAACTTACAGAAAGCCATCAAGTTCTACCGCATGGCCCTGGACCAGGTTCCCAACACTCATAAGGAGATAAGGACAAAGATCATGCAGAACATATGATCACGTTTGTGAAGATGGGTCATACAATGATGCTGTTACATCATTTGAGCTCATCATGTCTGAGGCAGCCAACTACAAGACTGGCTTCAACCTGATCCTCTGTTACTCTGCCATGGGTGACCGTGAGAAAATTAGTGGATTTGCCAAATTGGCAGTCGAGCTCAATGTGGACGATGAGGACAAGTACCTGGCACATGGGGATGATAAGCAGTACAACCTTGCCTTGGAGGTAATCAAGAATGACTCACTGCGGCAGATTTACAGAGAATAAAAATACGAGGCTAAACGCTGCATTAAGTACGCTGCTAAGATTATCTCCCCAGCAATAGAATGTTCATTTTCAGAAGGCTATTACTTGTATATTGAAATGGTCAAAAACTCACAGCACAAGGATCTGGCTCATGACCTGGAGATTGACAAGGCCATCATGTTTCTGAAACAGAACTTTGCCCAGGCCATAGAGACCCTGAAATCTTTTGAGAGAAAAGTTTCCAAAGTTGCCTGCACTGCAGCCACCAATCTCTCATTTCTGTACTTTCTGGAAGCAGACTCTGCACAAGCAGACAAATATGCAGAAGTTGCTATGACTGCAGACAAGTACAATCCATCAGCACTGGTCAACAAGGGCATCGTCCTCTATGTCAGGGCTGACTATGAGAAGTCCAGAGAATTCTTTAAGGAAGCTCTCTCAAATGACTCCTCCTGTGTAGAGGCGCTGTATAACTTGGATCTGTGCAACAAGAAACTGTCGACTGGAGGAGGGCAACGATTGTTTCTACAAGCTACATGCCATTCTGCGTAAAAATGGGACAAAGCTATCTGTGATTGTAACAGTCTTCTCAACATGGTAGACAATATGAAAGCACTGATAAGATGTGGAACAGCTTACAAAAGAAAACACAACTTCAAGAAAGCCTGCAAGGATCTTGAGAAAATGCTGAAGCTGGAACCAACTAATAAAAAAGCTGAGGATCTGTTAAAAGAAGTAAACAAAGAAATGGCCCACGACGAGAAATAAAAAAGATGAGGGAGGACGAAGGTTGGTTATAGAGGAAGTTGACAGTGATGATAATGAAACAGTTGAAGAAGTAAACGCAGACTGCCTCCAGCAGTAGAAGTTTCTGACATGAAAAAGGAAATGAATTCTGATAATAACAAATGTAAGATAGACGGGCCGCCTTCAGTAGCTGACAAATCAGATGTCAAGAAGCAGGAACATATCAGTCATGTTGAAAAAGAAGAAACAAACAGTTTGACTTCAGTAGCGAATGGTCTGAAATAAGGGTACAAGACAAAACAGATAAGTCCAAAGTTGAGGCTGATGCCACCCTATCTCCATCTTCCAAACTTAAAGCAACCAGATGCTGATGATGAGTGTAAATCAAATTACAGTTCCAATGAGGTGTCCAAACAGTCCCCTTCATCTGATCTGACCGAGTCCATCAATATTGTTTCATCCTTTGGTACCGGTCAAGATAATCAGGTCAAATTAGATCAGAATTATGCATCCAGTCATCAAGATAATCTAGTAACTTTAGATAGTTCTTCGGCATTGCCATCTGCTGTCCCTCTGTCTGTGAAGACAAGTGCCTTATTTGCTGAAACATCTGATAGCTCATTGTTAAGATCACTACCACAGGAGGGAACCAGCTCATCCTCATCAAAACCAGAAGTGTCTTTCAGTCTCAATGACTCAATAGCAGAAACAACACAGGCAGCATCACAAGTGACTTCTGACCCTACAGCACCCAGCAGGGAAAGTCACACACCACATCTTCAGTTTGTACAGCTGCCCTTGCCATCTGCAGTCTCAGATCTGAAGGAGAAAGGAAACCTGTTCCGAAGTGGACAATATGGGGAAGCCATAGAACAATATTCTCAAGCCATTGTGGAACTTAAAAAAAGATTCTGATCAGCGTGTGAACCTGTCTGTGCTGTTGAGCAATCTTGTTGTGTGCCATCTGAAGACAGGAAATTTGAGTCAGACTGCACTTAGTCCCTTCAGCTGGTACCACACGGAAGTAAAACTTTACTGCAACAGGCAGCCTCTTGTGAAGGCCTAGAAAAAATATGCAGAAGCTTTTGTTGACTACAAACATGTGATAGGCCTTGAGGCATCTGCTGATCAAGCAGACCAGGAAGTAGCAAGATGCCAGAACATGCTTCAGCAGAAATGTGGTCTTGTGTCATGGCCTGAGAAGATACCACCTTTGGTGCTTGTCAGGGATTGGGAAGTACCTGTGTTTGTTGATCAGGCTGGCTTGAGTAGATCAATGTCTTCAACAGTATCTTTAGTTGATAATGATAAACAGTAAACCATTACAGAAAGAAGAAGAAACTACATTTTCAACATTACCTGAGAGTGCTTCAGCCCCTCACAGCAGACGCCAGTTGTCAACCAGACGAAACGCCTACCACCACTATCATCTACAGTAGCAACGCTCCCAAACCAGAGACTGTTGTAAACCAGCGTAGCAAAGAGCAGGAGTTTGACAGTCTGAAGGCCAGAGGAAACCAGTGAAGGCCAGAGGAAACCAGTATGTTCACAAGGGTCAGTTCCAAGAAGCTGTCAAATGTTACAGTACCTGCATCTCTCTGTCCTGACCAGGTGGCATGTTTTACGAATAAGAGCACTATGTTACCTAAAGCTGGATAAGACAAGTCAGGCAGAAGCTGACTGACTAGGCACTGGGTCTACAATCTAACAACCCCAGAGCACTGTACAGGAGGGCCTTGGCACGTAAGATGTCTAAGAAATACAAACTCTGCTTACAGGATCTCAAGAACTGCTCAAGTTGGAGCCAAAGAACTCAGCAGCTCAGAAGGAGATTGACACTGTCAAGCTGTTATACAAAGAGGAATTTAAAATTCTGAAAAAGAAGGCGACTGCTGAAAGCTGAAAAAGAATCAAAGGTTAGGAAGAGGGTGAAAATTTAAGAAGATGATTAGGAAGAAAAAAAAACCTAGAGCAAAAGCTTCAGATAAAATAAAAAAAACAGACTAAATAAATCGAGGAGTGGCAAACAGCTACAGCAATCAGCCAGCAGCAAATCCAAAATTAGCATTTCGGACAAGAAGCACAACAATAATGTTGGCAAGAAACAATCTCAGGCACAGGAAGCACCCACTCTAGGCCAGCCACTGGCTCCTCCCACTGCACCACGTCTGATGGAGACAACACCATATGAGTTCCGCCAAGCCTGGAACTCGCTGAAATCATGTCAGGGTGTCTAGCCGTATGCAGACATCCTGAGACATTTCTCCTGCAAACCTACCCTCAGTCATTAGCAACAAACTTGATGGGCAAATGTTGCAGATCATTGTGCGTTGTGTCTATGAACGGATGGTACTTAAAGGTGATGTGGAGCTTAGTGCCCAGATATTGGACAGACTGTGCTTGGTGCCCAGATCTTGGACAGACTGTGCTTGGTGCCCAGATCTTGGACAGACAGTGCTTGGTGCCCAGATCTTGGACAGACTGTGCTTGGTGCCCAGATCTTGGACAGACTGTGCTTGGTGCCCAGATCTTGGACAGACTGCTTGGTGCCCAGATTTTCCACTGTGTCCATGTTTATGACCAGTAAAGAGAAAAAAATCAGTATCAGCAGTTTTAGACATCCTGTCAAGAACTGCTTCCAGTGCCTGGACAGCTGCTGCTATTGTTCAACTGAAGAAAGAGTACTCTGTGAAATAACCAGCTCACAACATTGTTATCTCACATGTGCCTTCAGTTGCTGACCACCTTTAGTTTTATAATTTCTATTTATTATTTGTGTCAAGTACAAAGAAGATTTTACAAGGATCAGAGAGATCCAGGGCTGTAGATGCCCGATCTCTCACGCAGTGGAGCACACCAGCTGTTCCGCCTTGAGAGCTTGGTTAATCCCTTGATCAGAACCCTACAGTCAAGATCGTTGTGTGTGACCGAAGAGGCACAAAACGGATCTAGAGGAGACAACCTTGATTTTAAAAAACCTAAGCCTACGGTGTACCTACCTGCCTATTTGCTGAATGACTGGAGGATATACAGTCGTGAACGTGGATCATCTGGTTAGTGGGTGAGGCTGAAGAAACGAAAGTCCAAATCCCCCAAAAAGGAGATTTAACAAAACCATTGAATTTAAACCTGCTGACCAGGCTATCATTTTGCCAAGTTGTCATTTAGAAACATTTGTGAAAGATGGACCTTGTCGTTTAAAGATGGATGGTCATGCTACCAGGATGATGCTTTTTCAGAACATCACCCTATTTGCCTGCACAGCCTGCAGCTGGGGCCAGGATTTTGTCATATGATGCCAAACGTGCATGGCTTATCTTTGCTACAGTTGCCAGGATGGTCATCAGAACATGAATCAGTTTCTGAACTGCAAACTGGTTCCTATCAACAGGATGTGCAAAATGCTGACAAGAGTATACACTCACTCTAGTTGCTTGGGCCATCTGTTTAACCAGAATGAGTTACAAAGATCTAAGAAACCACAGAAATGATGAGCCCTAGCGCTTCCTTGACTCATTTCTGTGGAAAACTTCAGAACCTCAAACTGTAAACTTGTAAACGAGTGCTTCACTTGGTTAATGAAAAGATGTGATCCAAATGTGGACCTCGGAATAGACGATGCAGAACAGGGCAGGGTAATCATTAAATCCATTGCCACAAAAGCACATATCAAACTCAACGCCAAAATTTTCTGCCGGGCAGACGGTTATGCAGTCAAGGAGTTACTAAAAGCTACCAAAGTTGTTTGCAATGTAATCCAGAGAAATGTGGCTATCGGGTTTGAATCAGGGACCTGTGATGTGAGCAATGTGTCGGATATTGCATCCAGGATAAATAAGCTAAAAGAGGCCAGAAAGCTTGCATCTGAAAGGGGCACAGCTGTGTGACCTTCTGGGAAAGGAATGTCTGAGACAGCGTGCAGTGGTTGTTGCTAGAGCATTATAGATTGATGAAGTGGAACAAGGTCTGCAAGCATCAATAGAAGCAGTGAGGAATGAAAAAAATTAAAATATGCTATATAATATTGCATCTAATGAAGCCAATTTAGAAGCAAGAATAAAGAAAAGCAGAACTGGAAAGGATGCAGGAGCGAGTATTAACAGAGAATATTAGACCTGCGCATATGATGAATGTGAAAAGCCTGAAGACTTACAGAAACTGTACAACGCATATTTAATCAAGTTTCGCAACTTGTCATTTCTAGAACCGCAACTTGAAGAGCAGAATATAGTTGAACTGGATAAAGTAGAGGAAACTGGACAGCAGAAGAGAATCATAGCCGACAAGATTAGAATGAAGGACTTGAAACCACGCTTATCTCCAGATGATGAAGATGATAAACATATTTGATAATGACAAGGAGTCATGAAGGTATGAAAAAAGCAACAAAACAACAGAACAAGACTTGAAGCTGATGGCCAGCAAAGAGGCACAGAGAAAGACGAACTATGTATCCTGAAATAAGTGAGGACAGTGGCTCAGACTATTTTGGAGAGTCAGATAATAGATTTAGATGATTACAACGATGATAATGCTGAGGAGGATGATAAAATCCAAGGGATTGGGGGTGTAGTGCCACTAAAAGGTCAAAAGCTGGTTCCGTGTGGTGATTTGGATGACAGTGACTTCTAAAGTACCCTTTGCACATCCTGCTTAATCATTTATTGCCGTGAGCAACTTATTTTCATAATGGCAGACGAGGACGAGGAAACAAGCAGTAATCTGTTTCAAGCACAGAATGAAGAAAATGTACAGGCACAAGGCATTACTACTGCTACAGAATACGAGCCTATTAAAAATGAAAGGTCATGTTCACAGGCCTCTAGACATTCTTCTCAAGGTGCTAGATCAGACCAAGATGCTTTAAGAGGTTCTAGACTCTCCATGACTGACCAAAATCAGGGTTCAAAGGAATTAAGAAGACATTCAGTAGCAGTAATGTCAAGGAAAGATAGTGACATAGAAAAGATGAGGTCTTTGGATTCTTTTAGAAAAAAGTCCAAGATAGTGTTCAAAAGAGGGAAGTATGAAGGAGACAATGAAATAGGGTTCTGACAATGCTGAATATAGCTAAAGATAAGCTGGTAGCATCTCTTCCTGACAAAGGTTTACAAGCTGCTGATGGCCCTCAGCCGATCCCACTTTTCGGGTCAACTCTGAGAAAAACCCTATCGATCATGAATGTCAGTAAAATGAAAATGTTGGAAGATATGTCTCCGCAGGAGAAGATGATGGCCAGTTTGATGGAAGCAAATGAAATTTCTGAAGATGAATCTCCTCCATCTATCCCACTTGGTGGTAAAGCTCTGAAACAAACCTTGTCCATTATGAATGTTAGTAAAATGAATATCTTGGAAGATCTGTCAAGAGAAAAGATGACTAGCCTGCTGGTAACTAGTGAAAGTTTTTCACAGGAAGATGAAGACAGTGGCCATTAAATGGCAAATGCAGTCACAATCCGTACTTGGAAGACAAGTTAGCAGCACATTCAGAATTAAAGAAAGTTCATCAGGACAAGGTTTTAGCAACAGAGCCAGTATCAGAGGGACTACTAGTGGTGGTGGTGGTGGTGGAGGAGGTCAGAATTTACCCAGAGATCTTGATAGGGATCCATCAGAAGTCATCCATGAGGAGGTAGAGGAGGAGAAAAAATTGGAGAGTTATGAAGACATTGAAAATGAAACTGACTTGGTGGTCTTGGACCCAGACCTTCCCTTGATGAAAAGATTCCAAGCTGCCTTGAATGTACATTTAACCAAGCAAAATGAGAAAATTGCATTGGAACGGAGAGATTTGGAGGAATCTCTGAGAATGAAGGAAAAAATAGCGTGAAAATGTGGGTGTTGAGCTGTAGGGCATTCAGCAAGAGCTTGCAAGATTTCAGATGATGCTAGAACAGAAAGATGACCAAGTGGCACAACTGAAACAAACATGAACAAGGGGCACAACTAAAACAAACATGACCAAGTGGCACAACTGAAACAAACACGACCAAGGGGCACAACTAAAACAAACACGACCAAGGGGCACAACTGAAACAAACATGACCAAGTGGCACAACTGAAACAAACACGACAGAAACAAGAAAATGAACTCAGTGATGTCAGCGCTCTGTACAAGGATTCACAAATCGTTGTCAACAAGGAAAGAAAGATAGGGTCTGAACTTCAGACAGAAGTAGAGAATCTTGCTTTAAAACTCTCCTACATCGAAAGATGGGAGGTCTGACATTGCTGTCATGAAGCAAGCTGCAGGATAAGTTGAATCACAAGTTGCTCGTGCAGAAATAGCCAAACAAAAACAGGATCTGTATGTTGATCGTCTTGTAGAGAAAGTGGACAAGTTGAAGGAAGAAATTGCCATGTATGTTGCACAGATCACTGCTCAATCAGAGGAGACAAAAGCAGCCAAGGGGAGTCTCATGGAGGCATTTATGGAAATTAAGACTATTGATTTGGAGAAGAAGGAACTGTATCACAAGTGGAACAGTTCATTAATTGGGATGAGGCCCTGAGATGAAGTTCACTCAGCAGTGCAAATAGCATTAGAGCAACAAGAGCAGCATATCCTGTCTGAAGTAAGAGAGATTGAAGGATGCAAGAAAGCCATTCTTCGGGAACAGGAACAAAATGAGAAGCTCACTCATCATCAGCAAAACTGAAAGAGAAATCGAATGGGCTTTTAAAAAACACATGGCCCAGGTTTAAGCAAAACATGAAGCAATAAAGGTTAAGTACAACTTATACAGCCGAATGCTGCAAGAGACTGAGCAGGCTCTCAAGAGAGCTCTGGACGACAAGAATTTGAGAATTGCTGAGGTGACTTCCTTGAGGAAACTGATAGAACAAAAATATGCAGCCAGGGTAAAAATGGAAGATGAAATCATGGACCGGATGCGAGCACAGCTAACCCTTGAGAAGGCTTCTCAGTACAGCAAGAAATTGACCACTAAGACGAGAGCGCACTAAACATTTGGAACAAGAAATTGCTAACAGCAAAAATTTGATTGCTACATCCTCACTGGAAACGGTTAACATCAGAACTCGGATTGAGCAATTGAAAAAAATTCTGGCAGGACTGGACGCAAACATTAGTGAGCAGAATGCCACCATCACAAAAAGTGAAGTGGAGATTGTCAAGAGGAACGCGGTTATTGAACGCAAACAAAATCAAGTGGATGTTTTCAATAAAAAGCTGACATCTTTGATTGCAGCAGCAGGTGGAGTTGAGCTAGGGCCGCTAGAGGTTCAAGTCAATAATCTGAACACAGCTATTGAGACAGGCAGTCAAGAAGTGTTGGAACCGCAACAAATTTGGCTCAAGCAACAGAAAAACCTGGTCAAGCTTTGTGAGGAGAGGCAGGAGGGGAACAAGCAATTAGTCGCCTGCAAGAGGCAGGAGGAGAACAAGCAATTAGTCGCCTGCAAGAGGCAGGAGGAGAACAAGCAATTAGTCGCCTGCAAGAGGCAGGAGGAGAACAAGCAATTAGTCGCCTGCAAGAGGCAGGAGGAGAACAAGCAATTAGTCGCCTGCAAGAGAGCTGACAATTATTTCACAACTTTCAGGACTGAGAATGAAATTAAAGGTCAGCGCTCTGAAATCAGCACCATTGAACGCAACATTCGCAATATGCGCAACGATATCATCAAGTTAAACTCCATCCTTCATAGAGAAAAGAATGTGGGGGAAGAGCTTGA